CTGCAGTCTCTAACCACTCCTGTAGTATGCCTGCAGTCTCTAACCACTCCTGTAGTATGCCTGCAGTCTCTAACCACTCCTGTAGTATGCCTGCAGTCTCTAACCACTCCTGTAGTATGCCTGCAGTCTCTAACCACTCCTGTAGTATGCCTGCAGTCTCTAACCACTCCTGTAGTATGCCTGCAGTCTCCAACCACTCCTGTAGTATGTCTGCAGTCTCCAACCACTCCTGTAGTATGTCTGCAGTCTCTAACCACTCCTGTAGTATGTCTGCAGTCTCTAACCACTCCTGTAGTATGTCTGCAGTCTCTAACCACTCCTGTAGTATGCCTGCAGTCTCTAACCACTCCTGTAGTATGTCTGCAGTCTCTAACCGCTCCTGTAGTATGTCTGCAGTATTGAACCATCTCCTGAAGGATGTCCCTAGTCTCTGTTTTAGTTTTCTGTAGCATTAAATACACTTAATATTACGCTGCCCTTTAGTAATGGCAGGGGCCTAGAGACTCCTTACATCAAGTAATTTGACTTCCGCTTGCCTAAAGTGTAAAAGGTTCAAAGAGAAAGCAAAACCAAAGCTGGCCATAAACACTTCAAATTTCTCTCGATTTCCCCATCCACGCTGATGACTATTGTATTCAGTAGCCGTTTGTCAGACTTGATGAGAGTCGATTGAAAAATCCGACAGGCCAACACATAGTTTGAACATTGGCTGACAAGACAGCAACTGTCAAACTTCTGGTGGCCACCCAACTCCAGATATGTCCTCAAATCAAGCTAATCAGATGTCAAATAGTGTATTTCATAATGTCATTTGTAGCATAACAATCAGAATTTAAATTCCTGCTGAATCTTGACTGGTTCTCTTTACAGTTTAGCATCCGCCTGTACAAAGCAAGGGGAGCTGATAAAGCATATTTTAATTCAATGCTCCAGTAACCCCATTCTGTACCCCACCAAACCCTCTGTTATAATATTCAGATAATTTCTGAGCAAGAGATGCATTACAGGGATTAATCTCTGCCGTTAACCGTGACGAAGAAAGAAAAACGTTGACCGCTAATCCTTGAGTGTCCATCTAAAGTGACGCTGAATATGGTTTTCATCAGTGCTAGGTCTGTCGCGGTCAATTTAACTGTCAATGATGCAGCATTAATGGGGGGGGTTTAGACGTCGCTCTTAAGTTGCGCGTTTAATGAAATTCAGGAAAAGAGATACTCAGCAGCCATCTGTGTAATCCCAGATTCTGATGAAACAAAGGTTTGGCATGGTTTTCGATGTCAGGGTCATCACTGGTAATCAGCCAGTTTGCAAATTAATTCTGGCTAAATTCATAGCAAACTGACATACACTGTACAACCATCGCAAGACCTTAGTCTTGTGATGGTTGTAAAGTGATAAAAAAAACGTACGATCTGCCCATCTTGGACAGGCAGATCGTACTCTCGATCATCGCAAGCCCGCCCCCCTGAGGGGCGGGCTTCCGATGACCGCACTGCTGAATGGGCAGTGTGCGCACACCGGCCCGTTCGGCATTTGTCTCCCGAGCACCGTTCAAACCAGCCGAAAATCGTACGATTTTCGGCTGGTTTTCTAGCATGCTCCTTAGACAAAAGACGTGCGACCGTACAGTGGAAACGGTCGCACGTCTTCGTCACACTGCTCGATTCTCGTACGAGAATCGAGCAGTGTATGGGCACCTTTAGAAGGATGACACGAGTAAAATGTGCTAATATGAATAGTAAGAAAAGTTTCATATAAAAGGGAGCATTATTAGACACACAAAGTACTGTCTTTAAAAGGACTGCTCTCCCTAAAACGGGTATTTAGTGTTTGGTAGATGCTGGATTAGCTGGATTGGAGGGTTAGACTCTCTATCAAGGTATTATTGCTGTCTATGACAGGGAGGTTCACTCCTCTTTTCCTACTGGTGACCACTGTCACCAATTAAGAACGTTAAGAGAAAATCCAACATTTTAGAGTTGTTCCTAGAATGAGAGCTAAAAGGTAAATCAATCTTACAATGGGGATACCTGTTCCAGGGACAACTGTCTAAGAAGAGAATTCCTCTCACTTTGGGGAATTTTTTTTACTTCCTCTGGGTCTTTAGGAAAGGAAAAGGAAGTGAAGAAATAAACTAAACTGGCAAGGGTTTACATTTTTCCCAACACAATCCAATACAAAAAAAACAGTTCTGACTATATATTCACGTTAATGAGTTTTATCTAGCCTATCTGGTGCTCAAATGCATTTGATTTTCACAATACCGTGCATCTGTTCATGGATATGTAGGATAGCTATGCATGAACAGCTACTGAATGGGCACGGAGCAGCTGCAGATGATGCAGGAAAGCAATCATTTTACAACAGTTGGGACCTACCTCGGGCAGAATAGCTTTAAATACTGGTGCATCCATCAGGGTGATCTGGCTCTGGAACAAAAACACAAAAGAATAGAAGAGTTTTAAAAACAGAATCATCATTTGTTAGTAGTGATAGATATACAAAAAGAAAAGCCAGCAACATCCAGTCACATATTAGGTTTTCTCCATTAGAAATATGTCAACTAGAATCTAATAAACATCTTTTCTAAATTAGACAAAATGAAAAACTTGGCAACAGCATAAAATCACACATTTTAAAGGATGGTTATATATTTTAAAACACCTGAGCTCTTTCAGGCACTTCAGGAACCTTGTCAATATAATTAAGATTTCCTTTTTTGTTCCCGTACTTTGTGTGCTATCATCAAGTATCCTGTTTAAACCTCCCTCTGGTTACTTTTGTTTTTCCTAGTCATGCAGGATACAGAGTTAAAACAAAGAAGGCATCTCCTGGTTCCATTGGTTGTATGAAGTTAGCTCTCCTTCTCATGGGCTAATGCAGCATTTCTCAACTTGTTTTCAGTTAGGGCACCCTTTAAAAGTTAGAAAAAATCTCGAGGCACCCCATTCTAAAATGTAATGGATTTTAAGGGGGAACCCCAAGTAAAAACACAACAAACGTGGGGTATCCCCTTAACATCAGAGTCCTCAGTCCCCCTTCATATTAGAGTACTCCCATCACATGATTTCAAACACCCTCGAGGAAGTAGGAAGGCACCCCAGGGTGCCACAACACACTTGTTGAAAAAGGCTAGGAGAATGGGCTGGGCTTAGATAAGCTCATGTAGAAGAAGCCTTATTTCTAGTTACTACTAGTTAAGTTACTTACAGCAAACTCCTCGGGAGTCACTTTCAATACATCGAACACCACGGCATCATAGCTTTTGTTGGCGTAGTCCGAGCTGTGCCCATCTAGAGAATCTGAACTGCTACTCCCCTGCCAAACAGAAAAGGGTTAACAATAAGCAGGGCTGTACCATCAGTTGGAGCAGGTACACTTTTCCTATGCTCATGCTGTGCACCTTCAATGCTGACAAGTCTTGAAGTGGATCCTTTACAAGTCTGCAAGAATGAATTACTGTCATGACAAAATATATTGCAACTGCTTATGTACTTTAAAAAGCTTTACCTTTTATCAATAAAAAGCAATCTTTCAGCTCCAGTCCAGTAACTTTACCTAGGCTAATATGATATATGAGTCTGGTGCAGGAAATGCAAAGCAGTTCCCCAGGCTCCCTTCCACCTCGTGATCACTTTGACTGTAAATTGTAACTAGTCAAGAACCGTTCAGACACCAGGATTAACATAGATAGATAGATAGATAGATAGATAGATAAGAGACTATTTATAAGCTCAAATAAACTTTCTTAAGCTGTTAGTGGGAAGCAGCATGCTGCTCAACTGAAAAAACCTGCCCAAGGTGCATTGTGTTTCATAAGGATCACCCAATCATACCGCCTCATACCCAAGCCTTTCTACTGTCATGCTAGATTAATCCGTAGACGGGCAGCATGAAAAATGAAGGCTCTGTCTGTACACAAAACCTAGAGACAGCCAGGGTATTAAATCCCTGCTTTACAAGAAATGACCTCAATAATACAGACATAGGAGGAATAACTGACACACCATAATGGATACATATAGGCATCTGTATTATATATACAAGTGCTTTCATACACTCTTTCATACACTCCGATAGATATGTCAGTGACTGTCAAACAGTATACATTATAAAGCAATCACACTTGTGGCTGCTGGCAAATGACAGAGGACTGCAAACAGAGTCATACAAGTGTATATGTGTCCGTAGTGCATAGTTAGCCGACACAATTCCCCGGGAGAGAAAAAAAAGAGGAAAAGCTTTTCCAAGTCAAACCAAGTATTCCCCCCCCCCCACCCCCCGTGCCCCCCGTCTTTGCCTCAGAAAATGGGACGTTATCCGTCTAAATGACCAATATTAATATATTTATATTTGTGTATATGCTACTTTTTTCACATTTTGTAACTGTTACACATCAGTGGTGCATTTTCTATGTCTTTGTGTCTGTTAATTCGTACTTGCTGTCCTTTTTTTCACATTTGTTGCTGGCTGCCATGGGCAATCTGTGCACAGACTGACCCCAGGGTGAACAGAACAAAGTGGCCACTGGAACCACCCTAACTTGATAGGAGCTACCAAAAGTCTCAAGATAGAAGCTGGGCATGCAGGAAAAGTCTGAAGACTTATGGTAGAGCTTGACTACATATGTACATAAGTTTTGTTTTTCAAATACAAATATAGTACATGAGAAAGGATTGCCAAAGCACTATTGGAATTCTAAAGAGATAGCATAGCAGTAATGGTCTCCTTTCAGACTGGGGCTAATTTTTTAAAGGAGTTAAGACTCTTTGCACAATAAACTGTGTAAATATTCACTTCAATTATGCAATTATGTGCAGATGAAATAAGTAAACAGGAATTTGCTTTGCACATACCGGTAATTGGATGATAAAATTGTGTGAAGCTTATTGTATGAAACTTTTCAACTCCTATAGTTAAATCGACCTCACTATACCTGACTGAATGCATGGATGGAGCTGCACAAAGGGAAGGGAGAGAGTCAGATTGCAGCTAAAGTCTGAGAGCAGCTGTTGTGCTAAACGGAGACCTGAATGGCAAAGATGGCAACAACTTGAAGATCTCTGGACATGTGCACCATTAACCCTTGCAGTGGGGCTATCCCTGCACTGCAAGGGTTAAGTGCTCATCCTGGTCTAGGGCCCAAAATAGAAAAAAAAAATACGACCACCCGTCTTCCCTCCACATCCTCATGTCCAATGCAAGTGAATGGATGTGATGACGTCGTGGGTCCTTGGACCGCTGGGGCCCGGGGAAGAAGAAGCTACAGGGACCAGTCTAGCAGCCAGGTGGGATCAAGGATCAGGAGTATATCTTTATTTTAGATCCTAGACCAAAATGAGCACTTAACCCTTCAGGAGCTCCCGAATGCCATTTGAGTCTGGGAGCCATATACATTTGCATTAGGAAATTTGGATCCCGAATGCCATTCGGGTCCACGAGGCTCAGCTTTAGTATTATATGTATATACTGAACACAAATTATTGTTACGGCATGTGACTTTTCTGACCAATCAGATGGCTCCCATGTTGCTGTAACGACAATTCGTGTTCAGAACCATTCGGATGCATTAAACAAAAAAAAACATATCTGATTGGCCAGAAAAGTCACATGTCCAATTCAGTTTAGTTTTTAAACGAAATTTGGAAGGGATCCGAAATTCGTAAACCGAAATTGGGATTCGGACCCATTGGTATTCGAAAATTCTAATGTGTCTGAATTTCGTAAAATTCATCTGAATTTTGATTCGGAATTAAACGAATTGCACATGTCTAGGGTGGGCATTTGTTCTGTTTTGAATTCTGTGTTTAGTTGGCACTGTTATCTTTTGCAACTATTACCAAGTGTAGTGCCTCTGGCTCTATCCAGTGTGATGACTTAAAGTGACATTAAGACAACTTTTTTTTTCCCCTCACCCTGCATGACGGAATAAATGTCAGTTAAAGTACCGCAGCGCTGAATACTGAAAAATGGCCTGGATGGGAAGGGGGTTTAACACCGCGGATGTCAACTGGTTAAAGCACTTACCTTAAATGATGTCTCTTAATCTAATCTTCTTTCCTGATGTTTTCAGCCTTCTCTCCAGTGCTGCAGCGGGTCTCTGTTCCAGCGCTGACTCCTCTGGGTCTGCTGGCACTTCCTGCCCCACGGTGTCTGCATGTGGGTACACGCGTCCATAGACTTACCTTGCGTTCCTCCTCGCGTCCCGACCAAAAATATGAACTGCGCATGCGCCCGCCTGAGAATTTTCACATTTTCGGACGGGAGCGCGCGGGGAAAACACAGGTAAGTTTAAACCACTGTTAGAGCGTTTTTTTTTTTTTACTTTATGCATATATCTACTGCTTACTAGCAGTAGATATATGCAAAAAAAAGCTGAGAGTTTAGAAACCTTTTAATTGTGTTATAGTGTTTTCTTCTCTTCTGTTATTGCAAAACTAATTTTAAAAAAATAATAATTTGTACATGGCCAGAGTTCTTTAGATTAGATTTGGCCTGGCATGCATGCAAGATAAATAATAGGGGTATTACTTGATGCCTTAAAAAGATCATAGTACTGTTCTGCCACTGTAATTCTTGATGGCTTTATAGTAGCCATTATATTCCCCAATATGTACATAGGTTATCTCACACAGATCAGCTTCCCACCGCTGCTTCTTTAAGTGACAATAAACTCAGGAATTAAATCTTAAAAATATATTCAAGTACCTTAACAATCACAAAAATGTACCCTATTTGTGTATCATTTGGCTGTAGATCCTCAAATCATCTCTGAATTGGTGCAGACACGGTCCTTCCTTCTGGAGGGTGACTACTTTTGTTCCCAATGGTCCCTACGTGTGTTTTAATGTAGCCACTGCTCCAAGCTTGCACCTGTGATGGACTACAATCTCAATGTAAATGAGTAAATTAACCGTGAGATTGTAGTCCATCACGGGAGTTAGCTTGAAGCAGTGGCTACTTTACAACACACACAGGGACCATGGAGAACAAAAGTAGCCACCCTCCAGCAGTAAGGACGGTGTCAGCACCAATTCAGAGATGATTTGAGGATCTACAGCGAGATGCATACATAAGCTACATTTTGGTTAATAGTTAAGGTACTTGAATGCATTTTTAAGAATTAACTACCGAGTTTAGGGATAGTGTAGATTTTATATATACATGTACATATACACACTATATTTATTTTATAAAATCATGGTCAGAACTACATAATAAAAGCTTAATATACGTTTTTTTCTTCTCAAGAAAATATGAAATGATGTATGTTATGCATTTTTACTTTCTGTCACCTCATGAAGTAAGCTTATTCACATAGCTCAGTAGCTCAATCTAAAATTTGAAAACTAGTGAGTGAAGTGGGAGGAGTGATTCCACCCTCTCCCTCTGAACAGCTCCATCTGAAGTTTTTAATAGTAGAAAGTGTAACTGAAAGGAGACAAATGTCCTCTCTTTAGAAACCCCATAGTGGTGTTGGAATCCTCTACCGTGTATTAAATGTTAACTCTTCTGTATGCTTATAAAATCAAATATAAAATACAGTTTTAAAAAAATGTATAAACTTTAAAAAAAAAAACCTATAGAAAATTGACACCAAGCCATTTTAGTTTCCCTATAACTGTGGTTCCACAAAAAAAAAGCAACCCACAACCTCAGCTGACTAGTTTTTTACAAATTACAATAAATATTTTTCCCCCCACTGTAGCCACATGTCAAGTTCAGAGGGCTCCTCTTCATCTTAAAAGGAATAAAAAGGCATTTTCTGTCCACACACACAGGGGGCGCAACTTTTATTAAAAGACCCCTATTCTAACTATAAATTAGTGGTCGGTGGAAATAATTACAGATGAGGTTTGTTGTGCTTGGCTCACTCAAGTCATCAGTTTCTTTGCTCCGGTCTTTAATAATCCTTGGGTTTTGGGAAAGCTAACCGTCGCGCCTGAAAGGCTAGGAGACCGTGGTCTCGGCGGAACGGACAATCAGCTGCAGAATCCATTGCAATCAGTTTAGTGGGATTTTCTGGTTTAGGAGAAGGTTTGAAGGAGACATGTAATCATCACAATAACCACAAAAAGCACAAAAAAAAAAAAATACTACAGAACTCTTTCCTGCCCAAAGACGTTAAAAGCAAATCAGTTTGAGTCCATTTTATTTTTTTATTTTAAGGTTTTTATTTTTTACCAATGTTTACTGGTTTATTTTATAACATATGTATGCAATCATTGTTTTACAAATGGAAATTTAATACACAACAAATATTCCCAGAGCACTATGGGATTATCTAATGAGATAGCACTTCGGCACTTATCAATTTC